GAGTACAGTGGATCACTTAAGCGATCCCAGGTCTCTCTTAAGCGATCCAGTATGTTCAGAGTTAGTCGTTTAGTCGATCACGTTAAGTCACTTAAGCAATCACTTACAAGCGAGGATCATGATCACTTAAGCGATGTTTCACTTTTACCCTTGGTTTCTTAAGCGATCTTGTACAAGGTATAATCAAGTTCATCCGAGTATAGTGGATCGCTTAAGCGATCTAGTATGTTCGCTTAAGCGATCACATAAAGTCGCATAAGCGATCACTTACAAGCTAAGATCAGGATCACTTAAGCGATGCTTCACTTTTACCCTTGGTCGCTTAAGCAATCTTGTACAAAACAGAATCAATATGTGCCCAAATGCATGATCGCTTAAGCGATTTACATTCTCACTTAAGCGATTTATACTTTTACCCTTGGTTGCTTAAGCGATACATAATCGTTTAAGCGATCAAGTTCGAGGCAGAATTAAGACTGCCCAGATGCACGATCGCTTAGGCGATTCTTCGCTTTTACCCTTGGTCGCTTACGCGATTATGGATTTCTTAAGTAATCAAGTCCAAGGCAGAATCAAGATCTGCCAGTTGCACGATTGCTTAAGCGATTTACTATCTTGCTTAAGCGATTCTTCGCTTTTACTCTTGGTCGCTTAAGCGATTAAGTCCGAGAAAATCAGTATCTGCCCAGATGCATGATTGCTTAAACGATTTATGTTATCGTTTAAGCGATAAGAAATCACTTAAGCGATCAAGTCCATGACAGTATAAACTTCTGTCCAAATGCACGATCGCTTAAGCAATTTATTTTCTCACTTAAGCGATCCTTTATGAAAAACCCTGTGTCGCTTAAACAATCATGAGCAATACGTTTTTTTTCCAGCTTTTCTCCTAAATTTTGATAAACTAAAATCACCAACACATATGAATTCCATACTTTCTCTTGAATTTGACAACCTAATTGCATCAACACATCAAGGCCATGTAACAAGAATACTAAATATAAAGGATGATTTATTCAAGGTAATAATAAAATTTAAAACATAAAAAATTGAAAACAACAACTCCTCAACAATTGGCCTTGGCAACCCTCTTGATTTCATCCTTTATCGAACCTAATTTTCTGAATCTGCATGTGATTGATTCTGGCAACTGCTTCTCTTGTGGTCAGGTTGCTTACAAATTGAGCACTTATTCATCCTCTGGGGAACCTTAGAGGCTGATGGAATATGTTTAACTCTTTTTCTCCCCTTTTCTGTCTTCTTGAATGGCGAATGGATGATAATGTCAGCCAACTCTGGCGGTACTACCTACTGCTCTTCTGAAGGAACTAGATATATCATTTCTGAATAAGCCAACATGTAATGATTTGCCATATAGAGAGGGGAGCAAAGTTCCATGTAAATTCTTGAACCAAAATCTGGCTTCCGTTGGTGTTTCAGTGCTGCTAGTGCATGAGGACAAGGTAAACATTGAATGTCAAACACTTTACAGCTGCAAGTTTTACTAACAAGGTTAACTAGGGCATCCAGACCATAGCCGCGCACGGTGAACTCTTGAGCATTAAGAGGATAGGCAAACAATGCATTTGACAGTTCCATACGTTCTCGCAATAATTTTTCAGCTGACAGAACAAGGGTTGTAGTAAAATTATCTAACTCCGTACGACGCTCATGGAACCACCATGACAATGTCCTTTGGATTGCATCAAAAAGGGAAACTATTGGAAACTCTATTTCTATTAACAACTTCAAATTTATAGACTCGGTTATGTTCGTAGTCATGACATCAAACCTTCTTCTAGGAAAGTAAGCTCTACTCCATTACTCGAAACCAACATCATGCTCAAGATACTTAGCAATTCTATCATCCTTGATTCGGATTTGCCGAAAGTGCTCCTCGAACTCATCAACTCGATAAGCTTTTGCTGCCATGTAGTATGTTTGAAGGAGGCCAGCACACTTAAACTTTTGCTTTATGTTCTCACCAAGGTGTCTCATACAGAATCCGTGATGTGCTTGAGGGTAAATAGTGGCAATCCCCTTCTTTATAGAGTTGTGCCTATCGGATATTATGCACAACTCGTCACTGTCAACACTATCGTACGTAATTGCTCAAAAAACCAAGTCCACTACTTGTCATTCTCAGAGTCAACCACATACCATGCAACAGGAAATGCGTGATTCTCGCTGTCCTGTGCAGTGGCCACCAACAATGTACCTCCATACTTTCCAATCAAAAAGCAACCATCAATAGCCAACACCTTTCTCATGTTTACCAAACCCCTTATAGCAGAACCGTAAGCAATAAAAAAATATTTAAACATCATATTCTTGTCCCACTTCAAAGTCGTCATGCTACCTTGGTTTGTCAACTCAAGCATATAACGGTATGCTTCTAATACTACGTACCCGTGCTCCGCCGTGCCCCTCACAAAATCTTGTCCATGTTGTCTCCCTTTCCAACATTTCCAGTAACTAATAGCACATCCCAACTCTATGCGCACAAGTCTCTGAATGTCTTTACGAGATTGACCTTTCCCTTTAATGAACTGACTTTTGACAAATTGTCCAATAACATCAGCAGAGGCTTGTCGATGCTCACCTGAAATATGTCTCAAACCACATGTGTGGTCACAGGTATATGTGCTAAGAATAAATTTTTCAGACTCTGCCAACCTTCTACAATAAACCCGCAACTTGCACTTTCGGTCACGACATGCAACCGACACAACTGATGAATTAGACTTTTTGGTGATGAACTCAAAATTACCTCTCACGGCAACAAGTTTTAGCTTCCTCACCACTTCCTCTTTGTTGTCAAATAAATACCCTATGCATAACTCCGATCTATCCGTAAAAACATGAGCTGATTCACTACTACCTGCAAATGCCCCCTCTGAACTTGCATAAAGGACCATAGTGTTCTCTTCCTCACAAACTACACCTTCTGCATAATCTGTATTAAAAGGAATCTCTACATTTATGGGAACATGTACGGGGTCCTCCTCCTTAACATTTTCATTCTGCCGCACATGACCAACCTCTTCCATAGTGTCCTCCTCACCACCCAAATCACCGCTTACTCTTGATTTTTCAACTAAAAAATCAATGCCCTCGTAGTTTAAATTAAAACCAGCCAAATCTCCACCAACTTCCTCGTTTATCCCCTTCCGTTGAACCAACTTCCAAAGGTTTATCTACAAATGAAACCCTTAAAATCGGCCTCGAACCATTATCGCCCACATCAATCATTTATAACTTCACACCTTCATCCGACTTTAATATAGTAGGAGGTACCTTATAATGTTCAGGAACTGTACTTAAAACATACTTCACAACTATATCACTACGTGAGCAACTCAAATCACCTCTTCTAATTATTTCATCAATCAACTTATCAAAACTAACCTCTGTGCTCAGAGCAGTTGGTATTTCTTTGCTCTTCCCAATCCACTTCCAACTTTCTTCCTCCACCTATTCACCAAAATATTCAACACCCAAAACAACTTGTCTCATGTCTAATAATAGCCAAGTACCTATAATGCAAGGAAAAAAAATAATATTATTAACTGATGTATTAAGGCCTGAAAGATTTTAAAAAGCATCTGCAGAGTCACTTGAGCGATCTGGTGTATCGCTTAAGCGATCTGGTATATCGTTTACTGGATCGCTTAAGCGATCCGGTATAAATAAGCCTGATCGCTTAAGCGATCTTATGCCATTTACCTGATCGCTTAAGCGATCTGCTGCTATACACCAAACTTATAACAGATCGCTTAAGCAATCTTCTGCCATATACCTGGTCACTTAAGCGATCTATGAACTGTTGCATTATACCAGACATACCAGATCGCTTAAGCAATCCATCATATCCAGAACACATTTTCAGTCATCTCCACCTACAATCGGTGCTACCACCCCCAGATACCCACAATGCAAGAAAATATTCAACAAATTTCACTCCTTTCAACTTCCATTACATCAAACACAACCTAACAACCTAAACAACTAAATCAAAATCATAAGTCAAACCCAATCCATCATTAAATCTTTATGAAATATAAAATGGAAAGGGGAGATACACATACCTGGACGAAATGTCAGGAGGAGGAGGAGGATTTGTGGCGAAGAAGATGTTAATGGCGGAGGAAGAAGATAGTGTTAATGGCAGGAAGAAGAATATGTATAGGACGGAGGAAGAAGAAGATGTACAGGAAGAAGAAGATGTAAACAAAGCTTACAAGAAACAACAACTAGGGGAGGAATGCGTTAATGTGGCGGGAGGAAGAAGAATAAAGTGTTTGGGTTTGTTTACAAGAATTTCGGCTCTTTGGGGACATATTATAATTTTTAAAAGATTACACAATACTTCATTAATCATAATTAACCCTTAATCATATTTAATTAACCTTAATAAAAAAAACAAGGCTATTTAGTTCACACTTAGAAACTATATAGCCTTTTAATTAAATTTAACTTCAAATGACCTTTTAATACCTTTTAATAAAATGCCCCGAAATGAAGGCAGGATCAAATGCCACGAAAACATTCTTTTTCCCAAACTTAAACGACGTCGCTCCAACCTTTGACTCTATATAAATAAATTGACTCCATCGTGGCAAAACATAAGCCACGTCACCATAGTTTTGATGGCTGCCGCCAAATTACAAACCATAAAACTTCACTTGCTTCAATAAATTTAAATACATATTTATTATTTTCAAATTGATGCAAATAAACAGAGCTTCTTCTTAAGGAACCACATCTCTCAATGCAATTTTGTGACACTTGCGAATCAGAAATATTTCAAAATGAGAAATTTTTGGAGAATTACAACTAAGTGAGCCTGTTGTTTATTATTAATGTGACTATTTTAATGAGAAAATTGTATTATGTTATTATTAATTTCTTCCTGCCTGTTTATATAAAAGACCCAAATGATTAATGAAATAGAAACATTTTCAGTTGGCAAAAGCTCCAGCGAGCCATCTAAACTAGCTATGCCGTCTAGATCCCCAACCTTAAACAACGCATTTCACACCCCAGACAGAAGACCGCTGGTCGCCGCCATAACTTCCCTTCTCCAACACCTAAACCCACAAAACCATAACTTCAAAAATTTCACTTCAAACTCTCTTAACCAATTCTCCGATCACCTAGACAGTAAGCTAGTCCTCAAAGTCATCCAAAACCAAACCAACCCATTTCATGCTCTTTTCTTCTTCAACTGGGCGGCAGATCCTAACCCTAACCCCAACAATTATACCCATTCTCACTTATGCTATAAAGCCATCATTGACACTTTGCTCTCTCACTCCCTCTTGTCCACAGCCACTTCACTCCTTCAACAATCTAGTAAGCTCTCTGATTTCTTCATTGGTAAAATCATCAAAGCTTATGGTGATTGCGGCAATTTTAAAGCTGCAATCTTTTGGTTTAACCAAGCTAAAAGCATTGAAAATGGGAAGTGTTTGTTTTCATACAATTCAATATTGGGGGTTTTGGTTAGAGGAAATCGGATGAAATTAGCTGAGGCTTTTTTTGATCAAATGTTTAAGGATAATATGGTGCAACCTGATGTTTCAACTTATACAACGATGATTAGGGGATATTGTAAAATGGGTATGATAGAAAATGCTAGAAAGGTGTTTGATGAAATGATGGTTGAGCCTAATTTAGTTACTTATAATACTATGATGAATGGGTTCTGTAAAAAAGGTGATATGAAGAGTGCAGGATCGATTTTGAATCGGATGATGACGAGTGAAGATTGCTTGCCTGACACGGTTACTTATACTACTTTGATTGATGGGTATTGTAAGAGTGGTGAGTTAGAAGAGGCAATGAAGTTTATGGATGAGATGGTGAGAAGGGGTTGCCAGCCAAATGTGTTGACATATAATGCGTTGATTTATGGTCTGAGTTTGAGAGGATATGTCACTCAGGCGAAGATTATGGTTACAAAGATGAGATTAGATGGATTGAAGGATAATATTTCCACTCACAACAGTATATTAAAGGGGCTTTGCATTGTGGGGAAGTTAGAGCAGGCTGGTATATATCTTAAGCACATGACTAAGTCTAATATGAAGCCGGATGTGATATCATATCGGGTTGTTATTAATGGCTATTGCAAAATGGGGAAATCGGATGAAGCCATATCGCTCTTGAAGGAAATGCAAGCAGGAGGCATCAAGCCGAATGTTTCAAGTTTCAATGATGTGTTTAGGATTCTTGTGGGAAATGAGGAGCTTGATAGAGCTATTTTACTTCTAAATAAGATGCCTAAAATGGGTTGCCCGCCTAATTTCATCTCATATAGCACAATAATATGTGGTCTTTGTATGGCTAAAGGTCGGATGCAAGAAGTTGAAGGGCTTCTTGATGCCATGTTTAGAAGTGGTCACAACATTGATGCCACCATGTATAGTTGCTTGCTAAAAGGATATTGTGAGGATGGTAACTTGGAAGCGGCAATGCGAATTGCATATGAAATGGTCAGCAAGAAATTTGTAATCAATCTGGAGAGCATTTCAATTCTTTTCAAGGAGTTGTGTGCAAAGATGAAATTTACTGAAGCTGAAACACTTTTTGAAATGTGCGTCAGATGTCCTGTAGATGATAAGGATAATTACAGAAGGATCTTAGATGAGCAAATATGTATTATGCAAGGGATTCGTAATGAATATGGACAGAATTCTTGACGATTACAAAAAATATAAATCTTATTAACAATTGTGTAACAATTTTTTTGTTTTCATTAACAGCAGTGTGGAATCTGATATTGCTTTTAAGTTTTGTGTCCATTAACCTGGGAGTTGGAGTAGAACTCATGGCTGCAAGGTATGTAGTCAGTGTTGCAAATACAAGTTTTTGTCCTGTAAATAAACTTGTACAGTTCCATTCATCTTTTGATGATCAATGGCAGTGCTTTGACCATGTTGATTCCGATATCACAAGCATTTCCAACATTAGCTAATTTCATGACAAACAAATTTCTCAGAATGGAGCTTTGTTCTTTATGTCATGTCAATGCAGGTGCTATGATGTTACCAAATGATAGAAGCCTGATACGCAGTAAGCTTTTGCTTTGCCAGCATAGAAGAGATTTGCTTAATTTCAACATCTAGAGCGTGTTTGAAATTTTATTCTCTAAGTAGAGGCTCGAAAACACGTGTCCTCTTATCACAATATCTCTTCATATATATGGTTCGTTTTCACACGAACTGTGGCCCACATGATCGAGGACGTGGGAAGATCTGGATGGCAAAGTCCCCCAGGTCGCATCATACATGCTGTGCAACCCACTACTTCTTGGCTCACATCATCGCTCCTCAAATTCATCTTTTCTACTTCAATTAAGATACAAATTTCTAATTATTAATCTTGTTTAACCCAACGTTAATTAAACTGTGTTATGAAATTAACACTTTATTTTTATTTTTATGAATTTGGATAGTAATTGGGCCGAAACCGAATCCCATAGAATCACGGATTCTTGCCATATTTATAAAATCCCGTTAATTAATTCACTTTCGTTCCGATTCAAATCCACACACCACCCTCTCTCTCTCTCTCTCTCTCTCTCTCTCTCTCTCTCACACAGTAAAAAAATATTCACATCTTTCCCTCCTTTACTCTCGCACTCTCTTTTGTACAGAAGGAGAAGACTAAACTTTGGAGTTGATTGGGCGATGGACGCAGCCGCTGCTTACAATCCACGTACGGTGGAAGAAGTCTTTCGAGATTTCAAAGGCCGACGAGCTGGCATGATTAAAGCCCTTACTTCTGGTAATTTTTTTTTTTTTTTTTTTTTTTGTCTTTTTTTTTTATTTCATGCTCCGCTCTCTGGCTCTTTCTCTCTCTGTCTTTTTATGGAGATTTGTTTTTGTTGTAGATGTTGAAGAGTTCTACCAGCAGTGTGACCCTGGTAAGCGTTTTTCTCTTCTAAAACCATTTTTTTCCCTTAATATGTGTTTGTTTTTTATTTGTTTTAGGTAGATAGAGGAAACAAATCTTTGATTTAATTTAATTTAATTTTTCGTTGCCTATTGTTAAGGCGCAGTGTTCTCTGCAACCAAACAGATTAACCGGGAGAATTGTTTTGTGTGTGTAATGCATGCATGTCGTTTGGATTCATGTCGTTTTGGTATATACTAAGGGAAGTGTTATATTCGTGTTGGCTAATATTTTTGGTTAACTGGAATTTTACTTCTTTCACGTATTAACACGAATTTAATTAGTATTCTCACTTGGGTTTTGAAATTCTTATTAGTTATATGCTTTAATTTGTTATTTAATTTGATTTTATGGAATTACCTGCAGAGAAATTATGGTGGGATCTTTATGCCAAACGTAATTTTACCTATTAAACAAAACTGAATTCATTCAACGCTTGATGTTTCTAGAAGATTGACTTATGTTCTTTCTGATGCACATATTTTATTTTGCTAGCGAATATTGGAACTTTGCGAAGCTTATCTAATGAAGAGGCACTAAGCAAGAGATCTTGTACTGTGGATGAATAGAGTGAAGAAGTTAATACTTAATATGTTTCAGATTTCCTATAAAAATGGAAGTAGAGAAATAAATGTGAGCGGAGTTGTTTATTTGTTATTAGTCAACTAGGAATTGGTCGGTTCCATTAGACAGTTGGTAATTTAATCAAAGGTTCGTTTATGATAGTTTGTATATTGTACTAAAATCATTTAAAATATTTAGGAGTTTTAGAAATACAGGTTTCATAGTTTGGTGCATGGTCAAAGATGAAAAATGAGAGTCGGGAGGGAATAAGTGTGAATATCACTTTTCAGAGGTGGACATTACAGAAAGGGTCTGCCAGTTTTTCATTCTGTGTAGATGAATTTTGATCATGGGTAGATTGCCTGCATTTTACTGATTGTTCCATCTGACCAACTCTTCTAAGGATCTGCGTTGCGTCTATGTTGCAACCGTCTGAACAGCTTTGGTGGTTCTTTTGAAGTGATTGGCTTGATAACTTTGAAATTAGATGACCCTTGTGAGTTCTAGTTTGGAAGTTCAAATGTGGTTTCTTTCCTTGTTATGACTTCCTTCATAATCGTCGAATTCTAATGCATTATAATTGCTGATACATCTTTGTCTTTTTCTTTGGGGTTTCCCTTATCTTATTTGTCTTTCAAGAAAGAAACAGTTACTGCCAAACTTTTCTGTTTAATTCATCATAGTTTATAAACTTGTATATTACCCTGAACTACTTTCGTAGTCTTTGTATACCATCCAAATATCATGTTTTCTCATAAATTTGATTCTTTTTTTTTTTTTTTTTTTTTTTAATCACAGAGAAGGAAAATCTTTGCCTGTATGGATTTCCCAGTGAGCAGTGGGAGGTGAATTTACCTGCTGAAGAGGTGCCTCCAGAGCTTCCAGAGCCTGCACTGGGTATAAACTTTGCCAGAGATGGGATGCAAGAAAAGGATTGGTTGTCCTTGGTTGCTGTCCACAGTGATGCTTGGCTACTTTCTGTGGCCTTCTACTTTGGTGCTAGGTTTGGGTTTGATAAAGCTGATAGGTAAGCATTTCTCTATGGAAAATTATGAATATGTTATTTGGCTTTGTAAAAGTGTGAATGAGTTTGAATTTTGATGGTAGTTTGGTGTTGGTTGCACCTCTTTCAGGGTGCTTATATCACTTTCTATTCTCTTTCCCCTAAACTCACAAAAAGTGCCTACCATTGATAACTATACTTATTTTCTTATGTGATTTATTGATTTCTGTTAAAACTATTATGTCCTAGTTTTCAATGTTTTAGAACTCCCAATTGACAAATTACTTAATTTATACTTCAGAAAATTTATTTTTGGTTTTATGCTCTTGTCTCTTTTTGTGGCATGTTTATGCTGATTGGTGAATTAAATGCTAGATTTGAAATATGTTTTAGTTCTTGAGCAGTAGAAGATATACTTTTGGCTAAGGAAACCTTGAATAGCCAAATTTGACCAATAAACAACATTTGGACCTTAAAACTTTTTTTGAAAGGTTGGACTAAAATTGGACAAGTCTTATTAATGGGACTAGAATAATTTGGTTTGGATTACTGGTCTTGTCCAGAGACTTTTTTCCTGTTTTATGGAACAATTTGTCTCAAGATTTTATCATTATACAATTTCTTGGGATAAGACTATTCAAAGCTTTAAACTGATTAGCCTATATTTTAAATTTTCTAACTATTAATATTAGAATGAATTGTAGCTTTCATGTTGACTCCCTAGTAGATAGTCAGTAGCATATTTTTTATTTTATTTTTCATTTATTTAAATCTGTAGTGTCTGGAATAAGGGTATTAGAAGTTAGTCTTAAATTGTTTTCTTTGAAGTTTTCTGATAATGGCTGTAACCTGTAAATACTAAATATCACTTTTCTGGCAACATTTCGTGTGTGTGTGAACTTGTTAATAGGTGGTTTGTATTATTGACCTTTATTATTTCCTTAATGTTATTTTGTTGACATATTTGGTGCAGGAAACGGCTTTTTAATATGATAAATGATCTTCCAACAATATTTGAGATTGTGACAGGGACAGCCAAGAAACAACAGGTAAAGGAAAAATCTTCAGTCTCAAATCACAGCAGCAACAAATCTAAATCAAACCCGAAGGTATAGAAGGACTTCCGTTGGCCTAGTGTATCAGTACCATAGTTGTTTATTGTACTTATTTGTATGTTACCGATTTTGATGTTGGCATGGGTTGATTAAAGCTAACTGATTGGTCTATAGTACGTATTAAAAATTATTTTATAGGATATTATGGGTGCGTTTTGGCTTTAAGGTGGGAAAGTAAGCCTATTAGTTGGAGGAAATGGTTCTCCACGTTTGTGTCTTTTGTTCTTCAGAAAGAATACTTTTGAAACTTAATTATCTTTTTGTATTGCCATATGCAGAGAGGCTCAGAATCTCAGCCCAAGTATACAAAGGTGATGCAAGCCAAGGATGAGGATGAGGAAGGTCTAGAAGAGGAAGATGATGAGGAGCATGGGGATACACTCTGTGGGGCTTGTGGAGAGAACTATGCAGCTGATGAATTCTGGATTTGCTGTGACGCCTGTGAGAAATGGTTCCATGGAAAGTGTGTTAAGATGACCCCGGCAAGGGCTGAGCATATTAAACATTACAAATGTCCATCTTGTAGCAGCAACAAGAGAGCACGGCCTTGATGATTTGCTGGGCCACTGGCTGTGTGTATTCTGGAATTACGGGGCTTCTAACTGCTAGTAGGTTTGTAAGTTAGGTTTGTTCTTAGTCAGGCATTTCTAGGGTCTCCATCTGGGATATTGTGTAGAGTGGAAATTTTCTGTTTATTAGATCAAAAATTAGAGTACTTCTGGTCAAGAGGGGAATTATCTTGCCCTTCCCCAGCCATTGGAGGAAAACTTGTTTATTATGTCAGAATTTTCTTATGTTTATATGCAATTTATGCCCATTCTGGAAATTTGTTTTAGTTTTCCAATCTATTTACATATAAATCAAGGCACTTTAACATTTGTTTTGAACTTGCGGTAATTTGAGGTCAAGTTTGAATGTTAAAAATTGGGTGTCAGTGGACAGTCCATGTTGGAGAGCAACGACTGTCAAATGTCCATGTGCTTTATTTTTCCCTATGTGCTCGTTTGGTTTTCTTTTGATCGTCCTGTAGTGAAAAGCAGACCAAATGAATGCCTGATATGATTGTAACAGGACTTACAAATTCCAACAGTGTGTTTTCAAAGATTTAAATATAATGCTACTTCACTCTTTGTAGTTTAATGGTATTCTAAGAACAAGTAACGATTCCACTCGAATTCTTCTGCATGTAAAACATAGTGGGCAAACAAGTTGTTTGACTTTGATTCTTTAAAGATTTGGGTTATTGGAATTTGGAACCTTCCAACTTAAAAGTGGCTCAAAGTTAAAAAAGTTCTTCTCTGCTTGGCTTTGGAGAAGAGAGAAGGGGCGGAGCGGATTTGCCCTTTCTACGATCTGACTTTACCATCTTTCATTGTATAAACTTAATTATATTGCAAAGAGACAAGAACCCAAGTTTGTCTCCCTTTAAGCCATAGTGAGATATTATGCAATAATAACAAATTACCAAGTGAAAATTGATAACAGTGACTCACAGCCCTCGATGCAGAACAAGTCACACACATAAAATTAAAACTTGTTAACCGTTAACATCATACTTGTACAGTATGGACATAGATGAGCGTTGAAAAGTACATTATTACAGATAGGGAAATAGTGGCATCCGGCTACTACTGTACAAGTTTACATTGATTTCCAGTGATCTCCAACATGATCAAGAAAACAACAAAGGGGAAACAAAACAGGGAATTTACAATAATCACCCAGAAACAAAAACTACAGGGCTCATAGATGGGCAAATTTATGTTTCTTGTGGCTACTCTTGTTATGATGTCTAGTGCTATTGGCTCTTAGCAGAAAGTCGTTTCAAAAACTCGTATGTAGTGATCATGGTGGTTGCAGACATAGACATTGAAGCCCATCTAGGCCCCAATCCCCTGTAACAAGCTGCCAATCCTCCTTCCTTCACCAAATTTCGAACTGTCTGCAGGATAGTCAGTGGCCTTCTTTGCCCATTTTCTTCTCCATCCAAAACCTGTAATCTTGTCTTGATTGTATCAAGTGGCATAGTAATTATAGCTGATACACCACTAGCCATGGCCGCACTTAAACCCTGCACTGCCACTGCTGCCTTTGAACTAGGCCTGTAACAACACCCATTACTCGAAGAACTTTCATCCTTTTTACTCATATAGCAACCGAAACCACTCCATATGAGCCTATGTGACACAGAGTAAGACGCCCACCAAACTGCATTAGATGGTGCATATGTCAGTATTGATATCCCAAATCCCCTATATAATCCTCTTGGACCATCCGCAACCAAGATTTTCCTAAATGCATCAAGACCATTACTATATCTACAAGAACTTATATTAGGGACTATGTTCTTGCTACTGTTATTGTTGCATCCTTGAACCATTAATCTTTGACTCACAACATCAATTGGGGTCCAAACCAGCTGTGCAGCCATAGCTGAACTCAACCCGGCTGCAGCATTAGCTATAGCAGTGGCTGTAGTATCTGAAAATCCTAATCTAACAGTTGCAGTCCCAACATTACTCTTGGTAACCTCAAGTGCCGTCATGTAAAGTGCACGAGCTGGAATTGTTCCCATCAAAGAGGTACCAAATCCTCTGTAGAAACCTCTAAAACCTTCATAACGCATAATGGTATATGACATTTTGAAGCACGAAACTGGAGTATGTGATACCTGCTGACGGGTTTTTAACACAACGACCGGATAAAGAGCAGCAGAAACACCAGAAAACAAAGCCGCACCCAAAAAGAAGAATTTAGATTTATCAAGCATATGCCAATCTATATCCGCTGGTATATGAATCTCTGATGCCGAATCATCCTCGGCAGTGCCCAAACTCATTTTCGCCACTTTTGACACCAATCACCAAACTTCACTCTCTATTGATCCTCAAAACAAACCCAAACTTTAACCTTCTCCTTGCCCCAACTCAAACTCCTAATATAGGTTTACAAAGCCAACTAAATCAACTAAACCCACCCAACAGTGCCTTAATCTAATTAACTGTAACTCGCTATACAATTCCAAGTACTAATCAGTATGAAAGCAAGAAATTAACCAACAACTAACCATAGGCAGCAGAACCTTGAAAAATATTATAAAAATATAGAAGAAAAATAAAGATTGAAGATTTGATGTACGAGTATGATAAAAAGTGGTAAATAAACAAATTCAGATAAGGGTATTGTTGGATTTTAACCTTTTCCTCTTGCGCAACCAGATTTGAGAGCGAACGTGCGTCAACATAAATGGGTGGAACATTAATTAATTAAACAGAAAAACTCAAGAGTCAATAGATATGGTACATGTTGATAAGTTGATGAAGTGAGAGTGAGATCTGAAGTGAAGAAGGAGATTAGAGTTGTGGATATCACAGAAGGCAAAGTGGATTGATTGTATTTATTAATTTAAGAAGAGAGAAGGAGAAGAGAGGGGGACTTTAACGGAAAGAGAGGACAACAGTATGGATATGAGCGAGGGTTTTGTGGATCGAGGTAAAAGGACACGTGTCAGTTATCACTTCGAGAACTTTTCGAGATATTCGCCCTGGTATGAGGTTGAGTTTCTGACCAGACAGAGCCTCTGCCCTCTGTTTTGTGGGTTATAAATTAACTGTGGGTGCCTGCCGGGGTGATCAACATCTTGCGCCAGTGGGTTCGTGTTTTTGGCCATTTCATTTTACTCACATAATACCATTTGGTTTTCATTCATGGGGCCACCTTGCAACTTGCATTACAAATGTAATTAGAATAACATTCTATGCTATTTAGCATTTTTTTTTTTAAGTATGATTGGATTCTGAGAAGTATTTTATATATTTTTTAATAGTACTTACTAAAAATATTTAGATGATTTTTAATCTTCTAGGTTTGTTAATTTAATTAAACATCCTCAATAATACAAGTTTATAGATTGACAAAAACATCCCCACCCACCCACTTATGGCTGACAGTCAGCCATTACCGTCAGAAGGTGACCGAAATCTACCAAAATAGCACATGACTGGATGGATCTGACCGATCGTGCACTGATTTGACTTTTTTTGACCAAATAGGCCACATATTTGGCCGTCGTTATCTTGGCTGTCAACGACGGCCAAGTTATGGCTGTCGTCAATGGCCAGATGTGGCCAAATCTGGCCTTAAATTTAGCATTTTCCAGCTAGATTCATGATAGATCTGGTCGAAAAAGGCCAAATCAGTGCACGACTAGCCAAATCCAGCCTGTCGTGCACCATTCCGATAGATTCCGACCACCTATCGGCGATAATGGTTGGCTGCCGACAATATGTGGGTGGGTGGGGGTGTTTTTGTCAATTTATAAACTTTTATTTTTGAGGGTGTTTAGTTAAATTAACAAATCTAGAGGGTTAAAAATAATCTAAATATTTTGAATTGAACTGAATAGGATTAGATTTTGAGAATTTTAAACCAAATGCATTTTTTGGTTTTTAGGATAGGATGATGAATAGGATAAGATAGTAAAAGTGTGTCAAACGGACCCTTAGATTTTATCTTTGCAAGATTAGTATTATGATTTTTATTATATATAGGACAATGCTATTTGGATCAGTTGATCCTGATCAAAAACTTTTTTGGGAAGGTAAATTTACAAATTTGCCCTTTAGTAAAATAAATTTATTTTCGGCTCCTAAACCCTGTCTTTTAGAGGGAAAACAATTTCCTCCATTAACATTATGGAATGATGAGAGAGAAGTAATGATTACATCAATATTTCCAAGAATAGAAGTTGGAAAGATGAAATTAATTTATTGTAATAATTAAATTTCTTTTAAAAAAAATAAACAAAACAAAACATGTAAACTCTTTCCTCTTCTACATCTTGCTATTCATCTTCACCACTAATAAATAAAAAAAAAAAAATAGGTAAACTTCAGTGGCGGCTCATTATAATAAAAGGTGGAAAGAATGAGATGAATGAAGCTACAAGTTTTGGAGATACGAGTATATGAATAGATGGGTGCAATGAACTATGAACATTGAAAGAAATAGAGTTAATAATTTTGCAAGTGTTGGTACGATACAAATAAGGTATAGACAATGTAAAGACTGCTAAGCAATATGATGATTAGCTGGGTAGAAATGCATGGATGTGGACGATGACCGAGATTGTGCATGCTTTTTTTCTTGTTTCAGAACCATTTTCAAGTGTAATCCCTTATGAGAAGCACCCAAAGTGAAATGCATTGATTTTCAACACATTTTCATACAAAGGTACACTGTTTTATCTCATTTTCGCCAACAAATGAATATGCTAGTTCATATTATGATGAAATAGTTGTTGGATAAAAAAATGTTTTCGGTAATTGATCTGAATGTTGTGTGGATAAAATAGATAGAGCTAGATAAAAAAATGCTTTATGTATATTGATTTGATTGTTGTGTGGAAAAAAAAGAGAAAGTTGGATAAAAAATGTTTTATGTATATTGATCTGAATGTTGTGTGGATAAAAAAGAGAGAGTTGTATAAAAAATGTTTTTCGTATATCAATGTTTTATGTATATTGATCTGAATGTATTCTGTATATTGATCTAAATATTGATAAAATAGAGAGAACATGATAAAAAAATGTTTCTGTATATTGATTACAATGTTTTATGTATATTGATAAAATAGAGATAGCTGGATAAAAAATGTTAGTTCATACTATAATAAAATAGAGATAGCTGGATAAAAAATGATAGTTCATATTGTGATAAAATAGAGAAAGCTGGATAAAAAATGTTCATATTTGAAAACCTAAGAGTTTCGAAGAAGAATAAGAGATATTATTGTTATCCAATACTTGTTTTCATGTTTGTAGTGAATATTTTGAGAAGGAAAGTTGGGACGATGGATAGTAATTCCTTTTTTATTTGAAGAAATAATATTTTGA